ATCAATGGCAACATGGCCAGCGGTGCCGTACCACCCGCTCCATTCGACCCAGAAACCGAAGACTGGGAGTCGTACATGGATAGGTTCCAGATGTTTCTGGAGACCAACAATTTGAAAGACGCAACAACCAGCAAAAAAAGAGCTATATTTCTAACCCACTGCGGGCCTACCGTGTTTAAAATGGCAAAATCACTTGCCAAACCAGCCGAAGTAAAAGCGATGGACTGGGACGTCCTCGAGCCTTTGCTACGGGCCCACTACGCGCCCACTGTGCCAACCTTAGTCAGAAGACACAAATATTACCAGAGGGACCAGCGGAAAGGCGAAAGCCTTGCCAACTACGTCGCAGACCTCCGCAACCTTGGAGGCCTCTGCGGATTCTCTGACTTAGAAGAAGCCCTCCGAGACCGCCTAGTTCTGGGCCTAGAAGACGGCACGATCCAGAGCAAAATCATGGCTAAGGGGGACATCAGCCTCACCGATGCCCTTAAAGAAGCCACTGCAGCGGAGGTGACCAAAAAGTCGGCAGCCCGAATGCGCCACACCAGCGTACCGCTACGTCAACTCGCCAAAGATACCTCGCCTCGCTCAGAGAGACACCCGGTATCGACTCACCACGAAGACCTAGAATCCCCATCAGAAAGCGATGAGGAAGAGGTCAACCGACTCCGAACGGAACGAGACCAGTTCACACAACACTCATCTCGACCTTGTGCAGGATGTGGGGTGAATCACCCACGATCCAGCTGCAAATTCCTCGACGCACTCTGCCGCGTTTGCGGGAAAAGAGGTCACATCGCAAAGGTTTGCAGAAGCAAACAAAACTCCAACTCCAAACCCCGACAGGCCGAATGCCAGCCTTCAGAATTCTTCGGCACACCCCGAAACAAACTGAATCACCAATGGGGAAGCCACTCCTACAGAAACAAACCGTCCACCACTTCCACCAGGCGGGAAGAAGCCAGGCGGGAAGAGACCCACCAGACAATTACCATAGGCCACGCTACATCCCTTGATGCCGGGAAAATCAGAGTAAAGGTCGCTATCGAAAACAAACCTTGTGTAATGGAGGTGGACTCAGGATCATCCCTCTCGATGGTGTCCTGGAAGACGCTTCAACAGCTCATCCCGACGATTCGCCGCCAAGACCTCAACCCTCAAAGGGTTATACTCAAAGATTACCAGGGTAACCAAATTCCCGTTGTCGGGTCCCGCCGATTCCAGGTCTCTTTCAAGGACCGCACCGTCGCACTGCCACTGACTGTCGTGGACCGTGACCGGCCTAGTCTTTTAGGCCTTCAATGGTTCAGACCGCTTGGAATCACTGTAGCCGGAGTCCACCGTGCTGAGAGCAACGATTGGGAGGAATCCCTCGTGCAAGAATTCCAAGACGTTTTCGCGAACGGACTAGGCAAGTACAAGGGGACCCCGATCTCATTTAACTTGAACCCTGAGGTAGCACCCATCCGCCTTAAGCCGCGTCGGGTGCCGTTCGCCCTGAAACCTAAAATCGATGAACAACTCGATAAGCTAATAGAACAGGGCGTGCTGGAACCCACCGACCACGCCCGGTGGGAAACCCCAATAGTGACGCCTATCAAGCCTGATGGGTCACTGAGAATTTGTGGAGACTACCGGGCCACCCTAAACCACGCACTTCAGCAAAGTGCGTATCCAGTGCCGGTAGTGCAACACCTGCTCCATTCCCTGGGCGGCGGGAAAGTTTTCACTAAATTAGACCTAGCGCAGGCGTATCAACAATTGCCTGTAGATCCGGCCACCGCGGAGGCGCAAACTATCGTCACGCATAGGGGCGCATTTAAATGCAACCGGCTCCAGTTCGGGGTGAGCGTCGCTCCAGGAATTTTTCAGAGCTTAATGGAAAGGCTGTTACAAGGAATAAGAGGGGTCGTACCGTATTTCGACGATGTACTCATCGCCGCCCCTAACAGAGACATTCTAGAAAAACGACTCCGAGTGGTTTTACAAAGGTTCCAAAACGCAGGCCTCAAAGTTAAAAAAAATAAATGCCAGTTATGTACCGAAAGGGTGGAGTTTTTGGGATACCTCCTGGACAGTCAAGGAATCCATCCCACTGAGGACAAATTAAAGGCAATTAAGAAGGCCCCCACTCCAAGGAACAAGGCAGATCTACAGGCGTTCCTTGGACTTATCAATTTTTATAACGTCTTTTTACCCAATAAAGCAACGGTAGCTGAACCATTACATAGACTCTTAGACAAAAAAGCAACGTGGGTTTGGGGACAACGTGAACAATACGCTTTCCAACAAGTAAAGAAATTGCTAACTTCTGATTCTGTACTTATGCAGTACAACGAGACTCTGCCGTTAACTATTACTTGTGACGCCTCACCTTTTGGGGTTGGAGCAATCCTGGCCCACGTATTACCGAATGGAGCAGAAGCTCCCGTCGCGTTTTTTTCACGAACTTTAGCTAAAGCTGAAAGAAATTATAGTCAGCTGGATAAAGAAGCTTTAGCTATTATGGCTGCAGTTAAAAGATTTCATGAATATGTGTATGGGCGTGCGTTTACAATAATTACTGATCATAAACCACTACTGGGGATTATTGCGGGTAATAAACCAACCCCGTATATATTATCCCCCAGAATGACCCGCTGGTCTGAATTCTTGGCAGCGTACAACTACACCTTGCAACACCACCCGGGGAAATCAATTATCCACGCTGATGCATTGAGCAGAACACCGCTTCCAGAATCGGTTGAAGATCCAGCCCCAACCATCACAACGTTGCAATTTGAGACTCTACACGCGCCGCCATTGACGGCGAGAGACATTGCCCTTGAGACAAAACGAGATCCGGTCCTGCAACACATCCTACGCTGGGTTGAGCGTGGTTGGCCAACAGAACAACTATCACCTGAATGGGCGCCTTTCAAAGCCCGCCAAACCGAACTGTTTTCTCAAAAGGGCTGCATCTTGTGGGGCGATAGAGTCGTAATCCTGGGCAAACTGCAACGAACTGTTTTAGCGGTATTGCACAACGGACATCCGGGCATCGTGCGGATGAAAGCACTCGCACGGAGCTACGCCTGGTGGCCGGGAATCGACAAAAGAATCGAGGCCTGGGTCGCTACTTGTCAACGTTGCCAAGACGTCAGCAACGCCCCACCTAAAGCAAGCCCAACCGAATGGGAAACTCCGAGGGGACCATGGTCCCGTATTCATATTGACTTTGCGGGGCCTACAAAAGGGCACACTTTCCTTATTACAGTCGACGCCTATTCAAATTGGCTCAAGATCCATCGAATGAACACAACTACAACGGACTCAGTTATCAACAAATTAAACAGGTTATTTGCCACACATGGTTTTCCGGACGTTCTCGTCTCGGATAACAGCCCACAGTTCACAGCATTACCATTTGAACAATATCTTGCTGACCGGGGCATCCGCCATGCTTTAACCTCGCCCGCGCACCCTGCGGCGAACGGACGTGCAGAGCGCATGGTACAGTTTGTAAAAAAGACCCTCCACAAAATGGAATTCGGAAACATCGATGAGAAAATCAATCGAATTTTATTGTTGCAGCACATCACGCCCCACAGCGTTACCAACAAAACGCCCGCCGAACTTCTTATGGGGCGGAAACTACGATCGCACCTCGACCGGCTCCACCCCGCATACGCACCCGAAAAGCCTTTCGGCTCCAGCAGCAAATGCCGGGAATTTAAGGTAGGCGATTTAATCTTTGCCAAAAACTTCTCCGGCGACCCTTTATGGATACCCGCAACCGTTACCCACCTCACAGGGCCTAAATCTTACCGCCTGCTAACAGATGATGGGAGGGTGTGGAAACGCCACATAGACCAACTCCGTTCGAGATTACCACCCAGCGCCCATGGCTCCCCGGGTTCACCAACTGAGGGGGGAGGAAATATCGAGGAAATTGACTTCGATATGACGGATAGCAGGCCAACGGAAACCCTACGGCCCAGCGAAGTACCGGGAATTGAAGCGGGGAGGGAGTTGACTTTTCCATGGGACTTGAACACGGGGGAAACCGAACTGCGAAACCCCGAAGAAACACTGATTGACGGAGACAACCACAACGAAAGCAGCACGGAATCACCGTGCAGCGAAACGGAACTTAATAGAGATCATCCAAACGCCCCACCGGAACCGGACTTTAGGACAAACCCGGTGGAGCCACGGAAATCATCCAGACAGACCAAACGGCCTGTCTATCTTGAAGATTTTGTTACAGCTCCCCTCAAACGGAACCCAAGGGGGAGGGGTGTTGTGAATCAATAAAAGTAACTAAACCTAAATGCAAAGCAGGTTTTGGAAGCCTGCACACTTGATTGGTCCTTAAACAACAAACAAGGATTGGTCCATAACAAGCCCCTGATTGGCCAAATTTAGGACACTTCTTATTGGTTATTAGTTGAACTTGATGCACTTATTATTGGTTAATAGGGTAGCAGCCAACCCTATAAAAGGGTTACTGCTGCCCATAGCCTTGCTCTGTTCTGTTCTATCTACTGTTATTAAAGAGTTGAAGTCACTGGTCAGATGTCTGGTCTCCATTATTCTCCAAACTTAACAACTTCACTCGTTTTCAGCACTCTCTATGATCCCTGATATCCAAGTTAATAATGATGTGTGTATAGTTTGTGTTAAACATGCAGATGATGATGATGATATCCATTTAGTCGAATCTGACTCTTGGTGATTCTATGGGCCAGTTCTCTCTATATCTTCCAATCTTGTACTGTTTCTTTGAGTTTTTCTATGCTCTGGCTGGTGTCAGCTTTGATAATATCCAGCCCCCATGTATTTTGATGGCCTGGTTTCCGGTTACCATTGAATATTCAAGATATCTGAATAAACAGTTATATGCAATTAAAAAATGCAATGAATGTAAATGTTTTGGGTTAAGTATATTCTATTTTCTCTTTCGTAGAACTTTAAACTAAAAAACATCTGAAGGTTTCACCTTTTTTATATTTATTTAGATCTTCAGCCTTATGAAAACTACAATTTCACACTCACAGCATGTACATTTGCTGGTTGTACTACCAGTCAGACAACTTCAGGTAGAACATTGCAAGCTGCTCCTCAAGGTAAAGACTAATTTATTAACATTTAAACCATTTATGTATGAGAACCTACACTCAGGGCACTATATCTAGGCACTGATTTTAAACAAAAACAACTCTTCAATTCCTTATTTGTTTAGTCAAAGAGGAATTTTGTTCAAATGGACCTAAGCAGAAAAATTGAAGAAAAGATAGAATGGCAACCCAAGGTAAATAAAAAAAAATGTTTAGAGAACACCTGCCTAACACTCTTAGTCCTAAGGCACCTAGACGTATTTGGGAGTTGGACAATCTATAAATTAAATGAAAGACAGAAAGACAGGAAGGAACGAAGGAAGTTGCAGTAGAAGTGAACACACAGATGCAGACACTTAGAAATAAACCTTATTTATAGACCATTTAAAAGAGACTATTAAAAAGCTAAGAAGGAAGACAAAAGACCAGAATAGCAACCAACAACCATGTAAGTAGAGATTAACAACAGACAAACTATCAAGCAGAAAGCAATACCCTAATCAAACAACTACCAAGGACAAACCACACCCACACCAAGACTGCAAAGGAGCAAACCCCATACTCACTAGCATTGATGATATTACCTAGTCAGGTAATGAAACATCTGGAAAGAAAGAAAGAAAAAAATGTAAAGGATTCCCTAAGTGTAAGTCTCCAGACCTCCATGTAATATTATAGGCAAGGGAAAGATCTCAAGCCCTTTTGTCAATTAATTTGATTTTCAGCAATTTCTTTACCCACATAACTCTGAATAGTGCACTTTGTCAGTGTAATTGTGTATATGTGTTAGTACTAATTAAAGGGAATGCATTGAATGATGTGAGTGATGAAACAAGGAGTGAAAAAATTTCATATATGCAACCAATCTCTCATAAATTGAAACTATGGAATGAGGCCTAACTTTTGTCAGCCACTCCCTTTAAAGCACTTATTTTAGATTTTCTTTTTATTATTTTTGTAAACTTCATTCCAAAATTAAGATATAAAAACTACAAATGGCTAACTATATTCCCAGACAATTGATATTTATGAAATGCTACTAACCGCGTCCTCTGATCCATGTTAAAATAAAATATGCTGAGACATAAGCTAAAACTGTCATATATCTAGTCAATCTGGTTAGTTTTGTAAAATGTGCTAATGAACTGGACAAGAACCAATACGTTTAATTTTAGCTCATGCAAAACAGGCTGTTGTTTATGTCTGCCTGGACTGTGGGCAGGGGAGCGCTAAAGAACTATATTTTTCCTAAAACAAGTAGAGGTTGGACATACCTTGTAAAGCATTACTAACATAAGCTGCATCTGTGGCACAAGACAAATTCTCCTGGTGTACAGTGGTAGCATTTTGTGTAATTAAAGCTAAGTGAGCTGCCTTGTCGTCAAAACCACAAATCCTCAATTTTTATTTATTTATTTATTTATTTATTTTTGTCAATTGCTTACAAGATAATAGGTATAAATAAAAACATAGTTATGAATACATGGATACATATAAGAAAAAAATAAAAGAAACAAAAGGACAGGGAGGGTAGGCACGTTGGTGCGCTTATGCACACCCCCTACAGACCTCTTAGGAAAGAGGTGAGGTCAATAGTAGAAGTCTAAGGTTAAAGTTTTGGGGGTTTGGGGAAGAAATCACAGAGTCAGGTAGAGTATTCCAGACATTGACCACTCTGTTGCTGAAGTCGTATTTCCTGCAATCAAGTTTGGTGCGATTAACCTTGAGTTTGTATCTATTGTGTGCTCTTGTGTTGTTATGGTTGAAGCTGAAGTATTCATTGACAGGTAGGACATTGCAATGTATGATTTTATATACTATACTTAGATCGGACCGAAGGCGGCATAGTTCTAGATTTTCTAGGTCTAGAATTTCTAGTGGTGGCATAAGGTATTCTGCAATGAATAGAGGAGTGGAGAACTCTTCTTGTGAACTATTTCTGGACTTTCTCAACTGTGTTAATATCAGATACGTAATGTGGGTTCCAGACTGATGAGCTGTATTCGAGTATTGGTCTAGCAAATGTTTTGTATGCTCTAGTTATTAGTGTAATATTACCAGAGAAAAAGCTACGTAAGATTAGGTTAACAACTCTTAATGCCTTTTTGGCTATGTAGTTACAGTGGGCTCTAGCACTTAGGTCATTAGAGATGAGTACTCCAAGATCCTTTACAGAGTTTGGATCATCAATAAGGTCTTGACTATTCAGCCTGTATTTTATTTTCTGATTTTTTTTTGCCAATATGTAGGACAGAGCATTTATTTGTTGAGATTTGAAGTTGCTATTTGTTTGACCATTCTGATACATAGTCAAGATCTTTTTAAAGGGTAGCAGTATTGTCTGTGGTGTTGAATAGCTTTACATCATCAGCAAAGAGAATGCAGTTGCTCTTGATATGATCACAGAGGTCATTTATGTAGAGTATGAAGAGAGTTGGTCCTAGAACACTGCCTTGGGGGACACCACTGTTGACAGGTACAGAATTTGATAGGACTTTCATACTACAGCAGACTATTTTTATTTGGAAATGTAAAATGTCTTTTAGTGATGGTTCAGAAAGATACAACTGCAAGCCTGTTAATTAGGACATCATATTTTGGTAATTTTTATAGTGTGTGTGTGTGTGTGTGTGTTGCCATGTACACTAAGATCCTCAAAATGTGGTCTTATTTTGCCCCTTTTTTCTGAGGCATGCAAATGTTATGAGTGGAAAAGGCTTATTCAGTAGTGATCCATGATTTTGAACTCTCTCCTAAGCAAACTTCATCTAGTTATGATGTTATTTAATAACTAATTAAGCAATTATTTTTATTTTTTCTGGAATGATAATCTTTTGTATATTGATTGATTGATGATTAGTGAATTTTGTATTGCTATATAGCTCTTTTATATTGTGTACTTTAGTTATAGTTTAGTATTATCTGAAGGAAGTGAAATATAATTTTGAGGTTGAAGTTGTATAAGTGAAATGTATTTACTAAAAAAATTAGTAACTCTAAAGATGAATCATAAATGAGCTTAGATTTTTTTATGTGTTAACATATTTTAATACATTTATAAAACTAAATATATTATTATAAACACAGTTTTGCTAATGTAATTACAGGAGTATGGTCACAACCTCGTCATATTACCGTAAGCTCTAAAATAGTAGAATTGTATTGGGATGAGCCAGAAAAAAACAATGGAATTGTCATTCAATATAGATTATTTTGTAATGGAGAGGAGATTTTCAATGGTGGTGGAGAAAATATGAATTTCACTCATTCTGCCATGCAACCAAATGACAGGTAAAATGTCCCTTATTTGAGAAAGGATGTTGTTTAATTTTTTATAATATATATTGATATATCATACTTTAACCTACATTGGGGCTTAACCCAAGGATTATGCAGAGATGTAGATTTGGTGGGCAGGTTACCATTTGGAACACACCTGGACAGGCATTTAGCACCCATTGGGATCACCTTAAATGAAATATGTCCTTTCCAAGCATCTGGTACCTGCTGTAGATGGCAACCACACAAGCCCAGGAAAAAAGAACAGTTTTAAGAGCTTCCAGTTGGGGCTACTTGCATGCCCCAAATAACATTAAGCTTTTGAATCAGGATGTCTGCACAGCCTAAATTGTTGGCCCCAACATGAATGTCTCATGTAAATTAACATTGTAATCAAAATTACACTGAATACAATTCCCCACGAACTTCACATAAAGATACCTATCTGGATTGTGGAAAATATGTTGTATAGGTAACTAATAATTAGCCCGTTGGGCCTTCCAGAACAGCTTTCACCTAACCACAACTAGGTTAAGCCAAGTCTAGAATTTCTAGAATTACATTTCAGTGTGTGCATTTATTGCCATGATATGGAAGTGGGTTTCTGCTAGGATTTATATTCCTAGTCTAATCTATAGCCTGCAGGGCCAAAGTGGTTCTTTATTCACATGTTAAACCATAACCTGATCCTGCCGAGTTTCTAGATTAGCCAGGGCTGGCTAGCTATTTCCATCCATTGTGATTACCAATTAATCATATCTATCATATTATAATATTTTTAATTAAGCCATGCAAATGTTCAGCCATACAGTCATACCACTGCTGCTGATTTATGTCTATAAATATGTTGTTTTGTCAATCCAGCTACAGCTTCTATGAGTAGATAGGGTTTTGATTCAGAAACCCATTTTAAAAAATAGTGCATGAAATAAAGGAAAGACGAAATGGTGGCATAGATTATGGAAGGTTTTTTTTTCCTTACGTGTATTCATAGGAAGTACAATTTAGTACAATAAGCTTGTTAGATACTGATTTGTAAGATTTACGCCCCATCTTTCATATAGGAGCATAAATGTCAGTATGAATAATGTTTCCTTCTCCAGTTGTTTTCCCCTACAACAACCCTGTGAGATAGTTTGATCTGAGAGATTATGAGTAAAGTCCCTCGGGCAGAATAGCTTTTTAGCAGGTCTCCTTGATCCTTGTCTACCTTACACTATACATATGCATGTTGGCCAAAGAATAAGTACTTATTTCAAGCACCTGCTCTTAATGCATAACTACAAAATAGATGAACTAGGCTTTCTGTGGAGTGAGAGAGGGAGAGAAAGAGAGAGTCACATGACATTCATATAAATGGTGGACATTACATTGTGTTGGAATATGATAAATATAATGAATGCTAAAAGAATTATAAAATATCTTTATATTCTCGGCTTTGTTTCCTCTTCTCCTTTCTCTCCCCCCCCCTCCAACACCTTCATATGTATTTATAGATATGTTTACCAGCTAGAAGCCAGTACATGGGGTGGTAGCAATATCAGTGAAAAATATATTGTCCAGACACCAGCAACAACACCGGAGGAGATTCACATACCATATAATATCACAGTAATCAATGCATATTCCATATTTGTAGCATGGAACATTCCTGGTAAGCATATGTATTAGTATTCAGAAGCTCATAGATAACTTATGTATCTGTTTCAGTTATTTATTATTTCCTCTGCTTGGTTCCCATTATAGAAAGAGGCAGACGTGAAAGTTGTATTGATGCAAGGATGCATCCTAAGGCAGATATTAGGAAAAGTTATCAATTCCATATAACAGCAATAGACAACCACCTTTTGGATTTTTCTACTTTAGGCATCAAAATAATTTAATAATAATAATAATAATAAGTCATCTGTAATAATAATAAGTATTATTAATCAATATTAATTATTATTAATTAAATTAATAATAATTAATTAAATATTATTAATTAATATTAATAAGTCATCTGTAACAGATGATAAACTAATTAATGAAATAATTAAGCAATAAAATAAATTATACTCTGTTCAAATATAAAAAGTGCCGTATTATGGATTAAATTTAATGATGGACATTGAGTTATACTAGTAGCTTTAGCTTTAGCTTTAGTCTGTTTTGGTTTTAATTAACTAATTTATTAAAATTGGTTTCAGGACAGGGTGAAACAATATTCTTTTTGTTTCCTGTTCTATTGAATACAATGTGTATTCAGTCATTATGACCACAAATTAAATACAGACCAACAAAAGTTCAGAAAGAAAGGTAAAATAAATCCTAGGTTCTTTGCAATGAGAACTAGCATTGCATGATGATGAAAATAGATAGGAGGGAGGGAGAGAGAGAGAGAAATATGCTTATAAGTAATATTGTTATTTATTTTAAAAAGTAATGTTGATATATAACAAATTAGCTTGTTTATAATTTAGGTTTAAAAAGGTCTATTCACTTCTGTTATAAAAATATTCAAATATATTGATATATATAGCTAAAACATAATAACCATTTTAATATTCAGTATTTATCCCAAATTATTTAAAATATTAAAATATTTACATCTTGCACAAAGGTCACCAGATGAGAAGATAATATAAAACATTAAATAAAAAGTTACCAAGTAAATATTTACCTGCATGCTTGGAATAATAAATATTACTGTATGTCCATTGAATCAATTCTTAATAGATCTATAATATCCTGAGCTGTCAATCTTTTAGTTTTCAGAAGCACAAAATCCATTATAGAAATGCTATAATATATGAAGAAGATTAAAATCTTAAATTAAACTCACTCCCCTCCACCCGTACTGCCTAAAAGGATTTAAAAACCCAGGAGAAGGTGGATGAATTTGACTTATAATCTACAGCTGATTTCATTGGAAAGTGTCCTATACACTGTCTCACTTTTGATAATCAGTTTCTGTGAAAGCTTTGAATATTCACTCTTAACAGTCCAATCCCTGTGCAGATCTGGACCTAGCGAAAGTGATTCTGTGTGGAATTTTTTATGTGATCAGATTGTTTACACAAAGAATTTTTAATTAAAAATAGGCAACCAGACATATCCTGCAAACATTATGATGATTTCAAGCTATATAGAATATTCTGGTACCATTTGCCAGACATCTGAATTAACACAGTCTTTATATGGTAATCTTGGTCAAAAGGGAAAGCTAAGTTCTTTAGGATCAGAATAAAAACCTCCCTCTGTTCTTTCCTTTCCTTTTTATCTGTTTGAATTGATATGTTTTAAAACTTAAAGATGAGAAATTACAGTAGATTCTCACAGTTTAGTGCACATTGCCATGGGGGGAAGTGAATGTAAAATATCTGATGCTAGGGATATGGAAACAGATAATTACAGTCAGCTGTCATCTTTTGTTTTCTTTTATGCACTTCCTGGGGTGCCTGACAAAGCCACAGATGTGGACACTATAGGATCCTGGTTTGATCCAAGATTTTTCTATACTTAGACACGTTAATAACATTTGAGACAGAAACTTGCCCATCACTTTAAAAGGACAGTCCTATTACCAGCATTTTTCGAAGGGAAGTGATGAGAAAGATTGATAAGAAACTCTTGCTTAGAAATTAATGTCCTGAGTAAGAACAGCATAATTCACTCACACACCAAGAATTTATTGACGTGTGAAACAGCTGATAGCCATGTGTAGTTGTAAAGCTTGTGTGGATTCCCTGAAACACTGAACAATGTTGTAAAAGAAGAAATTACTCATAATTATTATTTTAGGTTAAAAGAAGAACTTACTCATAAACTTACTCATAAGAACTTGTTCATAATTTCAATTTTGGCATCAATTTCTCCCTGTCTAGCATATCCCTTTGTCTGATGAAGTGTGTAATAAATATTGCACCTCCTACCAGGTGTGATAGGTGAGGGCACCTGTCATCCACCTACAAACCTGTAAATCATTAATTAAAATACAAAGGTTTATTCTTGTAGTTTTGCAAATGATTTGTGTGGATGGATATATGTGCATGTATTTTAGGTACCTGCTTTTTGCTATATTGATAATTTACTGAATAATCTGATGGAGATGGTTGAGAACCATAGTCCAGTCTAGAACACGGCAAAAAGAAAGAATACATCAAAAATCTATCTTCTTTCATCAGTAATTCCAAACAATAATGCATCTTAAGGAATAATTAAGCTTGCTTCTTGTTGCTGATCATAAAGTGGATCCATTAGGCTTATTATCAGGGTGGGATTCAACCGGTGTTACTACTGGTTCAGTGACTACATTTTGCGCACGCATGTAAAAACCTTTAAGCTGTGCCGCCTGGACAGCTGAAAAGTGCTGCACGTGGGTTCGCAGCATTTAAAAAGCCACTTTTTTTCCTGTTTTTTCAACCTCAGCTGTGCCGCACAGGACAGGTAAGAGCCTGGGCAGGTGGGTGGGCCAAACAGCAGCAAACAGAACTACTCTTCAGAACTACCGGTTCTATAGAGCCAGGCAGAACTGGTAGCATCCCACCCCTGCTTATTATCTGAAAAATTAAGTAAAAATATAATTTTTGATGAAGATGAACGTTTTTACAAAGGTCCAATAACAAGAGGCTAGATATAGTGATTTCTTAGATACAGAATGAGGATAGGTTGAGGATTTATGGAGTGGTGTTGACCAAGAGATCAACAGCTGAGAACTTATCAAAAAAGATGGCACAGGAAAGTCTTTTTACAAGAATCCTGATAATTAGATATGAGGCTTTGCTGTATTTAAGACTACCCATGAAAAGCTAAATTGTAAAGGAAAGGCAACCCATAAAATTGGGACCTGAGAAACTGTGGTATTGCGAAAAAGCAGGTGGTGATAGGAGCAATTGAAAGTAGAACAGTGTTCCTCCCTACATCATAACTATTATAAAATGACATTACATACTCCGCAGGAAGAATTCATATCAGGTTGAATCTTATTTTCTTTAGAGTTTACTTTTTCCATGGATAATTTCTGTCTTATGCTTTTAATAGTTTACATAAAATGATATACAGTATTTCGCTCTTTTGAAATCAAGCTTTAAAATAAAGATTGGCAGTGATTCTCCCACTGAGATTATCATTTTAACTGATATTGTCTCCTAGAATAAAATAACTTTTTATTCATCAAACATTAATGAGAGGCTAGTTGGTCACAGTACCCTTCTTCTATGAAAAGAAGCAACATTTTGGCATTTGATCTCCTTGTCTTCTTAATAAATTTAGATTGCATAAGGACCCATCAGTACACACCCATTGAGTCTCCTTTTATTTTATTTAGGATGCTTCAACCATGGGGATGTCTCTAAATTCCAAAGCTTTATAAATGTAATAATTCAAAAACCCTCTCTTACCAACCTGGCAAGATGTAAATGTAGTGGTTTTATTAGTTAAGGAATGGAAAGATGCTTTAACCTATTTCACTTAGGGTGGTAACGTGATTGAGAAGGGGAGACCCCAGTTCTACTTTACCCAGAGACACAGCAACTATCTGAACAATCGTTCAGTCCAGTCTACCTCAAAAGCTTATTATTGTCACAGGAGAGGTCACAAGCATGTAGACTTGCTGATGATAGCACTATTAATGACATTGACTTATTTTAAAATGCATTTATAGCTGTTTCTATATGGTTAGCAAGATTGATAACACTATGGTATTTTTCCATACGATCACCATATATTTCTTGAAAGGCCTGGCTTCTAATTCAAAAACTAACCCCACATGAAAATTTAACCACAATACTGGATTTATTCCAGGATCTCACCACTTTTTTTCAAAACCGTTTAAGGCTATTCAGTTTCTTTCCTTTAAGACTGTTGTTTTCTTCATGATCATTATATCAATCTGAGCAGTTAGAGAACTAAATGCATTACAGGTAGCTTCACCATATCTAGGAGTATTTCAGATAGGTTCCCATATCTAATACCAGTAGTGTTCTATGAGAAAATTGTCATGAAGCTTCCACCCATAATAATTTCTGATTTCCATCTTTATCAGCTATCCTTACTTTTCCCAACCTAAGACTCTGTTGGAACTTATCCTCCAAACTTTAGTACTAAAATAAGTTTTGAGGGTTTATAAAACTGCATCTTTTTCTTGTTGTAAGAGATTTTTTCCTTGGTTATAATGAAACAGAGAAATGCCCTTCCAGTATCTTCTCAACATTTCACCCAACAGACTTAAGAGGTCATCCCTTAATGTTACAGATTAACTGAACTGCCAGCTCTTTGCCATTTGAACTTCTCTATAGTATTTCAGCTATCTCCTCTGAATACCCTCTGCTTCACTAATTTCAGTACTTGCAGCATATAACACTGTTGCTTGAAAACCAAAACTAGAAATTGGGCAAGTGGGCAAGTAATTGTTAAAATTGGTTAACAACTGGTTTTTTTTTAATAAATAATAATCATTTTGCCTTCCTTCTCTATCTAATTTCCTGATCTACTACTGTGTGCTTGCTCTATAGTTGCCAGATTGAATTTTAGTAGAAGGCAGAACACAGTAGAATTACACAGTGCATTGGTAATGTAAAATGTATCTAGAAATCTCATTTGATTATGGTGGTTTGGTTTGAGAAAATAACATTTTTATTTGAATATTTAGTATTGTTACTTTAAGTAATTAAAAATATAAAGTAATATATTCTGTTTTTATGACAAGATAAATATACAATCATAAATCTTAATGAAAACAAACCTTTTCTTTTATATTAATCCAAGGCATGAAAACCTTTTAAGTAAAACTCTAAAAGTATTAAATATTGAATTAAACCACCATTTCAGGTTTAATTAAGAAAGTATATTTCAAAATTATTAGCTTCTGTTATACTAATGTCTCTAATCAAGAATCTTGAACATAACATCTAAAAAACATTTATTTTTGTTAAACATTTTCCTTCCAGGACATATTGGTTTAAAAATGAATACAGTATTGAACAATTCAAGATCCCCTTCCATTGACCTGACCATTTTCACTGTGCAAATACAAAGAAGAATGGCAGGGAAACCCATTGAGATGCTGTTTGTTTGACTTGTCCTATTACAAAATTTGCACTTGCCAAGCAATGAAGTCATAAAAGAAATAAGTGGAATAATTTAACTTTTTTTAATTCATAAAGATAATCATGGTTTTCTGATTACATCTTAACTTCATAAATGTTAAATAACCTATCAGCATCTAGTTGTTGTAAATTATGAAAAAGAGTATTGCTGGGAATATTAACCAACGAAATCCTTGTTCTTTAGTGAACATGAAAATGCATTATGGCAGGTTGTCATTGTGCTCACGGTAACTTTGACACCGAATAACAAAACTGCCATTTGTACTTAGGCTAAATTAGTTCACTTTTGCTTTTACTGTTCCTTTCATTCTGACATAAATGTATGAACTCTGGAACTAACCAAGTCATGTGGTTTCCCTATTGAGTTTAGTAAATCTGCTCATCTCATTCCATTCACTTATCAGAACAACAGTGCTATAGTAGTTTCAAAATTACTGCTTTTATTTTAAAATATAGGAAGTTTTCTCCCAACTATTTCCAATTTCAATACCATTCTATGAATTTATTTTATTTATTTTATTACAGGGTCATTTGAGAGCAATGTGCCTTTGGAGTACAATATATTACTAGATGCTGGCAGTACCTCCCCACTTGTAAAACCAGTTGGGCAACCCAAATTCATTCTTCTGAATGGACTTGATCCATACACTAAATATGAGATAAGGATACAAGCCTGCCAGAATGGTAAGATGTTAAGTAATACCATTTTGTTATTGGAAGCAATTTTGCAAATATATTCTGTTTAAATAACAGAATAACATCTTATTCCAAAATGTTTACCTAGTAAAAGCAAACCTAGGATTGAATCATTTATTTTACACATCTCCATATTGTATCATTAATATTTCAACAGAAAATTTAAATAGTTCACGTTTGGGAGAATGTCAGCCCTTTTTATGAAAAACATAAAACAAGGTGTTTTTTAAAACTATTCTAGAAATACACATTGGAGAAACTCCATTCCCAATTAATCCTACATCAGTAATTTATATATCCCTTTTATTATTCATAGGAAACAGAAGGATAATTCTGTCTTATTTAGAATTATAAGAAATGAATGATACTTGATCTAATGGGTTTTGTTAGCATCGGTACAGCATAATGGAATTCTTCAGGTGGTATTGAATATGAGACTGCCTTTGTCTCTGGGTTTCTGAAGCAAGTGGCATTCCTCCATTGGAAATCAAACTAAATAGTTGGAAAATCGTTATCATCATCAACATCTTGCCCCAAACCAAATTGTTTCAAAAAAATATCTTGCATTGTCTGGATTCTAAAAAAAGGAATGTTGTAAAGCATACATTGCCAAACAGATAGGACTTTAATAAGGATTGATAACTGAGCTGAGAGCATGAGTTTGACATATATTTAAAAAAGCACAACTTCACCCAAGGAACTGATTTTCAGAAAGCAAACCAGTAAGCAAGCAGGAATGAGTTTTGCAACTCACTTCTTCTTATTTTTGCTTTCCCTTTGTTAAACCAAAAAGGAAAATTGTGATTTGGGGTCAGCTTACTATCTATGTTATGAACAGACTTTGATATCAATTTATTTGACATGTTTGAATGGACTTTATGAGGAACTGAATCCACCTTATAGTGCAGAAACTAAAGAAACATTTTAAAGAAAAAAATGGCAGTTTTAGGCAATATTGTCTAGGCTCAGAAAGTAATCAGGATTAATTCTAGTTAGTATTTGGTTGGTAGACCTTCAGGAACCCCCCCCAAAATTATAGACAAAAGTAGGAAATGAAGACAGTCCCAGAAGGAATAGTAAAAGTCTTCCATATTGTTGCCAAGAAAACTGCATGGGCATATCCAATTAAGTTCAGCTTGAAGAATGTTTTATTTCATGTGGGGTGTGTGTGTGTGTCTGTGTGTGTGTAGATGTGTGTGTAAAAGTCTAGAGCAGGGGTCCCCAACCACCGGGCCGCGGACCGGTACC